GGAGGGACCCGCCCCACAGCCAGGCCCTGGTCTGTCAGAGACCCCAGACTCAGGAGGCTCACGGGAGGAGGGGTTCTGCTCAGGATTCGGGGCAAACCTCTCACAGGAACTCTCTTCCAGGGCTGAGTGTGGGCCCCAGGACCCGAGTGCAGGCAGGTGAGTCTGTCCCCAGGGGTCCCAGTCCCACCTCCTCACTGGGGACAGGGGTCACCCACCAGGCAGAGGGGATGGAGAACAGCAGTTCCGGGCTGACAGAGGGGGACGTCTGGGGGTTTGGGGCAGAGCTGGGACCTGGGGGTGGGGAAGGTCTTGTGTCCCAGCCTCCGTTTCCTTCCAGGGACCCTCCCCAAACCCACCATCTGGGCTGAGCCAGGCTCTGTGATCCCCTGGGGGACCCCTGTGACCATCTGGTGTCAGGGGAGCCTAGAGGCCCAGGAGTACCGCCTGCACAAAGAGGGAATGTTAAAGACTTGGGACAGACAGAAGCCACTGGAGCCTGGGGACAAGACCAAGTTCTCCATCAAATACATGACAGATGTAGATGCAGGACGATATCTCTGTAACTATCGCAGTCCCACTGGCTGGTCAGAGCTCAGTGACCCCCTGGAGCTGGTGGTGACAGGTGCGAGCCCACTCAGGGTCCCAGCCCCAGGCTCTGCCCTCAGGAAGGGGGTCTGCTCTCAGGGTGTCTCCCTCTCACAGCCCAGCCCTGGGGATAATGTGGGGGATCTGAGCCCCATTTAACACCGTCCCCTCCTCCTCTCCTAGGATTGCAGGACAAACCCCAGCTCTCAGCCCTGCCCAGCCCTGTCGTGACCTCAGGAGAGAACGTGACCCTCCAGTGTGGCTCATGGTTAGGATTTGACAGGTTTGTTCTGATGAAGGAAGGAGAACGCCAGCCCTCCTGCACACTGGTCTCCCGGCGAGCCCCCAGTGGGGGGTCCCAGGCCCTGTTCCCTGTGGGCCCCGTGACCCCCAGCCCCAGGTGGGCGTTCAGATGCTATGGCTATTACAACAACACCCCCCAGATTTGGTCGCACCCCAGTGACCCCCTGGAGCTGGTGGTCTCAGGTGAGGAACCCAGCCCTGTCCCCTCTGTGGTCCTGTGGTCAACTCCTGACCCTGTCTGGACCCACAATATAGGATGGGAATGAGGGTGCTCCAGGGAGGGTCATCCAGAGGGGCATCCACCCCTCCAAGGAATGGAGGACCACACTGTCCCCCCAGGCTTGCCCCTTCCCACACGCCCATCACTCAAAGCTCCAGGTGTATGCAGAAGGGTCTTCAGGGCCCCAGGGCAGATATACCAGGAGGGTCTGAGCCTAGAGGGGGTCTCTATGGGAAGCTCCAGCCCTCCACCCTCCTCTTGTCTCTTTCCCGGGACCCTCTGGGGGCTTCAGCCCCCCACCCACAGGTCCCAACTCCACAACTGATGCATCCCTGGGACCTCTTAACTCAGAGTACAGACCATCCCAGGGAGTCTGAGAGCCTCTCAGGGGATCTAACTCCCCCCGAGATACTTAGAAACAATCTTGTGTCCCCGGGGGCTGAGAGTCCAGCAGAGATGCCAGGGGGAAAGCTCCAGGGGCTCTGAGGCTAGCAGATGAGGGATGGGGTAGTCATGGCAGAGGGGGATACTGAGGGAAGAGTAGCCAGGCTGAAGTGAGGAGCACGGCAGCCCCATGGCCTCACCTCCCTGTCCTGGGTTTACGATGTACCCGATGGGGTCCATTGAGGGGCGGGGTCTGTGATTTGAGGTGGGTCCCTTTCCATCGATCGGGGTCTCCCCCATTTGTGATGGGGGAGAATCCTGGCTCAGATCTCAAGGACATGTCCGTTCTGACCCTACAGGGATGCTGCCTTAGGTCTGCAGAATGGGAAGGTGGGCAGCGAGGGCTGTAGGATGCAGGGAAGGGCAGAGCAGTGACATTGGTGACATCCTCAGGGCTCCTCTGTCCATCCTGCGGGGATCAGCCTGGCCGTATCCAGACAGCCCTGGTGGAAAGAAACCAGAATCAAACAGAAATAAGCAAGGCTTTGACGGTCGGACTCCGTGGGATGTAAATCCCAGATCTGCCACTTCTGGGCTGTGGGACCTCAGACGAGTCCTTTCACTGCCTATGAAGCGCATCTCCCACGGTCTCCCTCGTGGGTTTGCTGAGAGGTTTAGGTGAGATCCTGGAAATGAGAGCCCTCCGTGGGACGGACCCACCGAGTGCACAGGATCCTCACGGCCCCTTCCCTGATGTGCTCGCTGAAAAGTGCAGTCAGACCCCACGTGCGAGTGTGGGGTCTGCAGGGCACAGAACGGGTCTTGGCTGGACTTGGGGAGTGGGGAAGGCACGGAGTCCGTCCCCCACAGGGACGGTTCTGGGCACCCCAAAACCTCTGACAATAGGAGGTGCATTTAGCTCCAGCTACAGGAGAGGGCAGGGCACATGGGGACAACAGAACGGGCCGTTCCAATCAAGGTAGGAGCCCAGAGCCCGAAGCAGGTGTCCACTAGGGTGGGTAGTGTGAGGAGAGCACAGGGAACCCACAGTCCTGGGTTCAAATCCCAGCCCTGCCACCCACTTCCTGGCCCGGTGACCTGGGGCACCTGATTGATCTCTCTGAGCCTTGGTTTCCTTATCTGTGAAATGGGTGAAGGGGGGGTGGCATTCCCCTGGTGCGTGATTATTACAGGGATTAGAGGTGATGAATGCACAGACCCCAGCATGGGTCTACACACAGTAGGTGCTCAGTTAACTGACATCATTGGTTCATTCATGATATCACTTGTGTCCAAGGTCACAAGTACCAGAGAATTTTGATCCAGGTCCCTGTGATCTTCCTCGTCCTGCTCTTCCTTCTCCTCTTCCTCCTTATCCGACACCAGCACCAGAAAAAACGCTGCAAGTCAGGTAAGTAGAAGATGGGAGCTCTGGTCTACCTGAGAAGTGAGACCTAACTCTGAAGATAGGAAGTGGCTTCTTAGAGCACCACCAAAATATGGCATCAAACAGAAAGAAATGCTCAGTTTTTGAAAACCCTCCAAATTAAACAATAAAAAATTTCTCGGAAGCTCTTTCCATCACAGCCTTCTTGGGACAGGCTGGAATCCCCACAAAGTACAGTTATGAGGGTGGAATTGGAAATGCCAGGGTGACCTCGTTAAAATGTATACATATACATCGATGGACATGACACAGTCGTAGGTGTGTCTGGCATAGATGTACAAACACACGTGTCCCAGGTCCATCCATCAATAAAACCTAGACACGGTGACGGCACGACAATCATCCAGATCTTGGTTTTTAACTCCTATCCTCTAGTACAAGGAATTAGGGTTCATCAGAGAAATTCTTTATTCCAGATTGGGACAGGTGAACTAATGGAGGATGCTGGAGCATCTTAATGTGCCAGAAAGTGCAAAAACTCACCAAGAATGATGGAGACAAGTCAGAATAACAAAGAGCCAGCTGAAAGGAACTCCCTTTGGAAAGATGTAGAATGAGCTGAGCATCCAAGTATGGAATTACAATGCATTGACTAAAGCAGAAATCCATTAGTTTATAGAGTAAATTAACTAATGCACCGGGGGAAAGGGCACGCTTTAGAGTAGAATGCCAACGAATCGATGCAGAATGATGAGCAATGAAGAGATTGGAGACTGTTATGAGTTAGCTGCCATGATGGTGGATGACTCAGGGAGGGTCGTCCATGAATCATAACAATAACTATGGTGTACTTGAGGACGGTCATGGTATTGGACGAATACTCAAATATGTGTCTCCAAATACCAATCAAATTCTAAGGGAGGATTGAGGACCTCACCACGGGAAACCTCACCACGGCAGACACCTACTTGACCAGGCATTCGGAGTACCCAGCACCAGGGATAGGACAGGTGGATATCCTGGGCTCCTGATATCGAGGGAGGTGATCACAGCCTTGTCAACACCCTTTCCAGGGTATCCATAAGTAGACACTGGGTAGAACCAGAAAGAAAATAAAAGACGCTGTTTGGCAGTTGGTAAGACAGGAACCGGGAGCATGGGTTTGGTCCAAGTGTTGCATCAGTGAAGATCTCCTGACTGGGAGTTCTGGGGTCATGTAGACGAGAGTTTGTGCTTGTGGGAGGCACACACTGGTGTATTGAGGACAGAGGGGGCATTATATCAGAAAAAGACCTACCTACCTATCTACCTATTATCTGTCTGTCAGTCTATTTCTGTTTCTGTCTATGTGCATGCATATGTTTATGGGTGTGCATATAGATGCATTTGTAACGGACCTCCCCTTTCTTTCTCCCCTCCCCTGCAACACTCGTGCCTATATCTCCAAATCCACTTGCATCTCTATCTCTCTTTGGTAAAATGTTACCAGAGCAGAAATGTAGGTCAAGGTGATGCAGGAATCAAATACAGTTCTTATAAATATTTTCTGTAAAAAAAATAATAATTATAAAATCATTCAGAATGAAGAGATTTAATAACGGACATAGACTTTTAAAGACATTCTTCCAGTTTTATTTAAAAATATATATTTAAATCATCCATGCACGTTTTGTGTGTTAGAGTTTAGTCGTTTGCCCTACATTCCAAATCGAGGAGGATGGGTGTATCACCTTGTCGGGCCTCAGATCCTCTGAGATCCTAACGTGGCCCTGGGGGCCAGGTTCTGGGGTCGTTTAGAAGCTAATTTCTCACTTCGTGCAGGTGACTCACATCCTGAAGTTGACACCAGAACCCTGCAGAAAAGGTAATTTCTCCCCAAAGACCCTTCCCCAACCTACCACCTCTGCCTATAGTTCCTTCACAGCTGCCTAATGCCCCTCTTTTTCCTCCCCTCAGCTCCAGCTCCGTGGCTCCTGTCCAGGAGGAGAATCAGAGTAAAAAGGAGGGTCCTGGTGGGAGACCAGGAGGAGTGCTTGGGCCGGGTTCTGGGCTTCTCATGAAAACTGCCACATCTATGTGATCCCAGGCACATCCTTACCCCTTGCTGGGCCTCAGTCTCCCCATCTGAGGGTGGAAGGGGCATGTGGGACTGCAGGGTTTTGGCATTTTGGCATGATATAGAATGTTCTCGTTCTCCAGATGCTGAGGTGAGAGAGTCCCAGCCTGAGGAAGACATACAGATGGACAGTCAGATGAGCCCCTGCTCCTGTCCAGGGCACCCAGCACAGCCTTGTTAATTAGTTAAATGTATGGGCTGCTTCTCCATCTTCCTATTCCTCAGCTCAGCAGCATCTGACCTCACCCTTCCTCTTGAAAGGTGATACATGTAGGCTGCTGGGACACCTTCTTGGGTTATTCTGATACCCACATGGGCTCCTCCTTCTTGGTCCCCTTATTTGGGTCCTTTGAATTGTTGGTTGTCCAGGTCTCATAATGGTGGTGCTGCCAGGGACAGTTGTACAGTTTGTGCACTGCACAATAAGGACTGTGGGGTTTAAGACCCTACTGGTGGCGTCTGAGCAGTGTGCCTTTTCTTATTCACACAAAGGCACCCTATAGAATGGTCTGGCCATGAACAGAGACCCTCAGCCTGGCTTTTTCTCCACTTACTCTCTTCCCTCTGGTTGTGTGGATTTAGATGCAATGGAACTACACAATAACGTGCCTTAGGTGTAATGATTGTCATTCGGCTCCTAGTCCCGCAGGAAGCTCACCCAGCCATCGTGTTGACCTCACCATGAGACAACTCTGTATTTTATTTGTCATGTTTCTTTAATCCCAGGTACAGCTGGACCATCTCTATGCTCATAATTCCACAATTATTTCTAGCCTGGTGCCTGAGCACCAGCCTCAGATATCCAAGCACCTGTGAGCTGTTTCTTCTTGTCCGTCCACCGGGCATTCCAATGTCCCATGCCATGTGCCAAGTCTCCAGTCTCCCCAGAAGAGCTGTCTCTCCCTCGATGTTCAGTACTTCCCCAAACCGTCCAGAGACACATTGTTCGTCACAGCTGGGAGGGGGTTGCCAATGGTCTCGAGGGGCCAGCTGTGGGGACACTCAGGGTGGAGGAGCTGTTTTAACAGAAGCAGGCTCTCCCCTGGCCCCTCCACTGCACTTACCACCACCCCAAATCAGTGTTTCCTTGTTTGTGGGCGGTTCCCAACCCCATGGCCATGAATTCCTCCAGGGCAGGGCGCTGATCTGTCCTCTTCTTGGCCCCCTGGCAAGCGTCTTGTCTGTCCATCTGTCTGTCTATGTGCATATTTATGCATGCACTTATTGTGTGTGTATATGGGTACCGAATGAAGTGGATGAACCAAATCCTAACGACTCCGAGTTTCCCCTGCTTTAGCCCATTTATTCATTCAGTGAGTTGACAAATCTTATTGGGAATCTATGTTTAGCAAGGCTCTGTCTTAGACCGGGTGACAGAAATACGAGTGAAAACATGTCCGAGCCAGGGATCCACAGGATCCGATTTAGGTTTTAAGAGCGACCCTGGCTTCTGGGTAGACACGTAAGTGAAGAGGGACAAAGTGGAGGAGTTTCGCCCTCCCTGGCTCCCCCAGCAGAGCCCTGACAGTGAGTTTGCCAAGGGGGTGACTCTGCCCCGGGGGGGAACCACACAGACCTCAAGGGGGGTGGCCCCTCTTCCTTCCCCACGTCGGAGGGATTGCTGGACACAAAGGACAGAAAGGGGGACAGGACGGACAGGTGGGTCCTTGCTGCTCCCGGCACCCTGGCTCCCCCACCCATCACACACTTTACTCCCACCCTCCCGTCCTCCAGGCCACAGCATCTGAAGACCTCCAGGATATGACCTATGCCCAGTTGAACAGCTTGAATCTCGGACAGCGGACAAGTGCACCCCCTTCCTCCCAGTCAACGGAGCCCCCAGCAGAGCCCAGTATGTATGCTGCTCTGGCCGTCCACTAGCCCGGGAAAGACCCAGACCTCACACCCCATGGAAGGGGGATTGCAGAGACCCCAGGAGGCCCTGGGGCTGCCCCCCCAGCCCCGTGGACACTCAGCTAATGCCCCCAGGCCTGGGGACCTTTCGTAAGCAAGCAGGATATCCTGGAGCTTTAGAAATCACTTAATTCTGCAGATAAAGATAAATATCAGCTCCATTTCTAACAACAACAACAAAAAAAACCGGCAGGTAAGAGAAGCAAACCACAAATGAAGATAAGACTTTTTTTTTTTACTTAAATGACAATGCAAATATTCTACATCAACACAGATTTTTATTTACATGGTCATGTAAATGCCAGATGCCAAGATCAAATGGGAAAATTATGAATGAAATTATTACAAAGAGAAGAGAGCCTGAAAATCAGCAGTCGAGGCAACATCTACAGGAGTCAGAAAAAGAACAGCAAATTCATCCCACGGCACTGGGTGAAAATGATAACATATATTGATCATAAAGAATGAAAGAGATAAAAATCAACTGTGTGAGCTTGGGCTGCCATAACAAGATACCATGGACTGCGGGGGAGGGGGGGGGCTTAAACAACAGAAACTTATTTCTTCACTGTTCTGGAGGCCCAAGCCCAAGCCCAAGGTGCCAACAGGTTGGTGTCCTCGGAGGGCTCTCCCCACAGCTGATGGATGGCTGCTCACGTGGCTTTTCCTCCGTGTGGGCATGTGAGCAGGGCAGAGAGATCTCTGCTGTCTCTTATAGGGTCAGTGCCCTATTTGATCAGGGCACCACCCAATGATCTCATGATCATTACTCCTTAGAGGCCCCATCTCCAAACACAGCCACACTGGGGGGTTAGGGCTGCAACATGAATTCAGCGGGAGGGTGGGGGTGCGTAAACAGTCCACATCATTCCACCCTGAGCCCCAAGATTCATGTCCTTTTCCTACACAAAGTACACTCATCCCATCCCTACAGTCCTCCCCGCCGCCCCAAATCTACATTCATTCCAGCATCAACGATCAATCTAAAATCCAGAGTCACATCTAAATTATCCTGTAAGTCAGACGTGGGCAAGGTTCGGGGTAAACACCTTCCAAGGCAGAATTCCTGTGCAGGTGTGGTGAGCCCGTGACCCGGATGAGTGACGTGCCCATCCCCAGAGGGAACGATAGAAAGAAGACAGAGGTGACCACGTTCAAAATCGAGCAAGGCAACTTGCACAGATCTTAAGGCTCCGGAATAATCCTCTTGGGCTCGACCCCTGCATGCCAGGCCCTCTGGGGCGCCACCTGCAGGGCCCTTCTCTCTGTGAGGGTCCCACTCCCAAGGCTTCGAGCAGAGCCTGCCCAGGGGAAACCGAGCCAGTAGCCCAAACTCTGAAACCAAGGGGCCAGCCCTGACGATCTCTGAATTGCCTTTGGGGTCATCGTCCTTCCCTTTCCTTGAAAAACAGCACACCTTTTGCAGACAAAGAAGCCTACCTTCCCATTCCTATAGAATCTGAGAACTCCGTTCATCCCACGGGGCTGCGTTTCTGCTCCCACAGATCCTTCACCTTGGCTCCGCCCTCCCAAATGCACGTTCTCTCATTTGTTGGAAGAATCTTCCCCGTCTCCCTTCAGGGTCCATTAGCTTAACAGTTCACTCCTCCATTCACCTCGCCCCTCCCCAGTCTCGCTGCGAGCGCCCACACGGGAGTGCCCCGGGCACACCTCAGCATTTTGCTTTGGCAGCTCAACCGCCAAGCGTGCAATTGCGGGGCTCGCACGTTCTGCGGTCCACCAACGTCTGGACACGGTTCAGCCACGTTGTCTGCCTCTTCGTTAGTGGGTCATGTTTTCTCCCTCAAGGGAGAAACCTCATGCATGTGTCCTTAGCGGACCTCATGCTCTCTCCCTCCTGTTTTCTCCCTCACGCATGCCTCGTTCTTCATTCCGGCCTGAGGTCCCGCAGGAGTGGACTCGCCCGTCTGCTCCTCTACCAGCAGCCACTGCACACACAGCATCTTCCGTCTGGCATCTGCAAACTCCTCCCGCCTCTCCCGTGTCTTAGGTATTGGTTCGGGCAGCAAAGTCTGCAATCCTCTGCTCCGGCATCTCTGACGAACATCACAGACTACAGAAGTCTCCATGAGGTGCCAACAGGGCTGGTGTCTGGCGGGGGCTCCCCCCACCCCGGGGGTTGCAGACAGCCTTTCCTTGGTGTGAGCACGTGGAGAGAGACGCGCATGAGCTCCCTGGTGTCTCTTCTCTTTTTTTTTTTTTTAAGATTTTATTTATTTGAGAGAGAGCACAAGAGCGGGGAGCGGGAGAGGGAGAAGCAGACTCCCTGCTGAGCAGGCAGCCCGATGTGGGACTCTATCCCGGGACTCCAGGATCATGACCTGAGCCGAAGGCAGTCGCTTAACCAACTAAGCCACCCAGGCGCCCCTCCCTGGTGTCTCTTCTTCTGAGGGCCACCCTTACAACTTCATTCAATCCTAATTACTTCCTTAGACGCCCCATTTCCAAATACAGCCAGGCAGGGGGTGAAGGCCTCAGCATATGAATTGGGGGGAAGAACATAAGCATCCAGTCCCCTAACATTAATAAAGCCACGAACATTTATTATCGAGTATTCCCAGAATGTGTAAAGTCCTAGCAACACTCGACAAGAAATAGAGAAAAGACACCAGCATCAGTAATGAAATATGGGACATTGCTACAAGTCCCACAGACTTTTATGGTGTCAACCTAAATAAAAGAGGTAAACCGAGGCAAGCCCAAATTACCAAAAACGGAGTGTGTTTGGGAATAGTGGAGGAACTGTACTTCAGGATGTGAAAACTGTAGCACGCAATCTACTGGAGTCTGTTGAGGGTTTGGGGCAGGCTGGGCGTCTGGGGAGGAGGACAAGGGGTAGGGAGTTCAGCTAGAGACCAAGCAGCGACTTTCCAGCTTGAGTCTGGGGAGGAGTTCTCAGTGGATGCCCCTTGGTCAAGGGATGGGTTTCCCTTTTCTGTAAAATCAGGCATTTACAGGAAATCAGTCTCTCTGACCTTGAGCATCATCCGCTAAGGACATATGCATGAGGTTCTGCATTTCATACCGTCCAGTTCTGTCCTAGACGGAAAGGAACATTATACTTTAGTCTCCCACATAGACTTAGATGTAAAATAACTTTAAGAGGGGGGAAATGGGGTGCCTGGGTGGCTCAGTAGGTTGAGCGTCGGACTCTTGCTTTCAGCTCAGGTCATGAACTTGGGGTTGAGACATCAAGCTCCACATCCAGCTCATGCTGGGCTGAGCATAGAGCCTGCTTGGGATGCTCTCTCTCCCTCTGCCCTACCCCCTTCCCCACCCGTGCACATTCTCTCTCTCTCCAAAAAAGTAAAAAATAAAAATGGGGGGAAATACCTGATTACAACAAACATTACTGCTCAATTCACATAGGTAATGGGTGGTAGAAAAATGTTTTGATAAAGATCATTTTCCCCCAACAAATCAGGACTTTGATCTACCATGTCCCCTACAGGTTACATGCAGGACCCAAAACAGGGAGGACGGCTCTGCCCCAGGAACAAGGGGCACCGAGGAGCCAGGAGAGACTCACGGGGGATGTTCCCAGGAAAGGGGGCGGTGGACAATGCCAGAGCAAAATAGAGAAGTTC